CTCCGAAGTGAGAGATAACGTACTAGTAAGATCAAGAAGAGGGTCAGCCACCTCGCCACTATCGCCTCCTCCAAACTTCTATTGTGAGAAGATAAACTTGCATAAAACAAGAAAAAAAACTCCACTCTAGAGAGAGAGGAAAAATATATGAGTTGATGTAGAAAGGAGTTTAAACAGTGCATTTAGTAACTCCAAAAGAAAATAGTGAGAGTGGTGCATTTAAAAAAACTTATATACGATCAGGGAGTGAGTGCAAAAGAGATGGGGCCGTGGGAGACTATTAGGGTGGTGTCATGTCAATGAGTGGCGGGGAAAGATCATTTTGTTTTGGTTATTCACCACCAAAAAAATAAATAAATAAATAAAATCATATTTTGATTTTTTTAATTCGTATTTTTTTATTTTTAGTAATTTTTTTAATATTTTGATTAAATTTTTAAATTTTTTTAAATGCATCTAATTTAGATGTACTGAACAAATAAAAATATTTATAAAGAATCCTTAAAAAAATTCAATAAAAATTACAAAATATAAAAATTCAGTATATTTTTGTTTTTATTTTTTTTATAGATTTTTTACTAATATTTTACTTCAAAAAATAAAAATAATTGACCAAAATATTTAAAAAAAAATCTAAACAGTTAAAAATCTAGTTTTAAAAACTGAATAGCTAAACAAAGTGAATGGATGAGGATGAAGGAAGTGGTGGTAGACTAGTGGGTGTAGATAAGACATACTTGTAACAATTTTGTTTGGGGTTTTTTTTTTTTAAGGTCCCTCGTATTAAGATTTTATAGCATAAAAGACATCTAATATTTTCATAATGTCTAAGGTCTCTCAAGTTGATCCAGAGAAAATTGGTCCAGAGAAAATTGATCTAGAGAAATTTCATCTAGAGAAATTCTGGACCAGAGAAATTATGGACTTCCAAATAATTTCTCTGGGTTCAACCCTCTGGGTTCAGTTTGACCAATTTTCAAACCAGAGAAAATTGATAAATTCTGGACTTCCCAAACCTAGAGAAAATTTACTTCACCAATTTTACTCAGTTAAAGGTAGAGAAAATTAAACAAATTTCTCTGAGTTTGTTTTATTGAAATTTCACTGAGTTGTCTCAGTAAATTTCACTGAGTGTACCAAACAAACAAACAGTACCAATACATACATATGACTTCATCAATTTTACTCACTTAAAGGCAGAGAAAATTAAACAAATTTCTCTGAGTTTTTTTCATTGAAATTTCACTAAGTTGTCTCAATAAATTTCACTGAGTGTATATCAATACATATATATACATATGACTTCAGCAATTTTACTTAGTTAAAGGTAGAGAAAATTAAACAAATTTCCCTGAGTTTGTTTTTTTGAAATTTCACTGAGTTGTCTCAATAAATTTCACTGAGTGTATCAAACAAACAAAAACACAAACAAACAGTATAATATATATATATATATATACATACATATATGACTTCACCAATTTTACTCAGTTAAACTTCACTGAGTTTTAAATCAGTGGAGAGAGAGAGAAAGAGAAAAATTCCACAATGTTTTCTTCTTACATTTCTAGGAACTCCAACTTCTTCATTCTTTCCGAAACAAAATCTTCAGATTGCAAAGCAGTTACCCCCACAGTGTCCACCACCTCATCTGGTAGTGAGAACAACGTAGCTTGAACAGCTTTCTCTGGTTTCACTTTACCTGAAACAGTGAAGGCTCTGCAGAGAAAACCAGGTCGTAAAATAATAACAATAATTTTGATGTCATTCAAAATCTCTACAAATATATATAATCGAGTCAATCAACAAGTTACCTAGAAAGAATCAACAGAAAAGATGGCACCGAATAGTTGAGAGACAAGTCAAGCCAATCACGTAGCTGCAAGAACGGAAGACCAGATGGTTTGAGCTTGTGTTCTTCTACTGTTGCTGAAGCAATGGATTCAACAATCGGTTCATTAGAGAAGTTTCGGTCCGAACTAGGGTTTAAGACGCCATTTTTTGGTGAGAATGAGAGAGGGGTTTTTGGTGCGCGAAGAGAGAGGAGGGAGTTGGATCTTGGAGTGTCTGGTTTCGATCGACTTTGCTCATCTCTTCTCTTTAGGGTTTCAGAGAGAGAGAGAGGAAGTGCTGCTCTGTAGTAGAGGATGAGAGACAAAGAGTCAAATTTCTCTGATATATGTTTAGGGACCTTAGACATCAAAAAATAATTTTGTGGATCTCTTCCATTACGAAAAGTGGGAGAGGGACTCTAGACTAATTTTTCCTTTTGTTTGATTGAGTTTTATATAAAAAAAAAAAATCAAAATTTATTTGAAAAATTAGAAATTAATTTAATAAAAAATATATTCTAAAATGGGAGCTTTTAAAAATTATGACAATAAAAAATATTTTTTTAATCATACTAGCTTCTAAAATAAGGATAATGTAATTTTAATAAAAGGATAGGATCGAAATAAACAAATAAATAGACTGAGGAGAGCACATAGAGTAGATAGAAGTATGGCTTTAAATGAAAGTAAGGGCGTAACTTGGACGAGTTAGGGTTGGCCGTGACATTGTCTAAGCTTAATTTAAGTTACGTTGTGAGTTGTTTAGGTTAAGTTACGTTGTGAGTTGTTTGGGGGTGTTTGTTTCAGCTTTTTAGAGTCAATTTATGGTTTTTAGTTTTGAAAAAATTATTTTGGACTGTTTGGTTAAACTTATTTCAAACAGCTTCTGATTCTAACAACTTATTTTAACTCAAAAAAGTTGATTCTGAGAAGCTGCTCACCCCTTACTTCTGATTATCAGCTTCTGCTGTGGACATATTAATTTATGGTTATACTCTTAAATTTTTTTATTTTTTATTTTTTAAAAAATAGAAAAAGATTCAAATGGGCTATAGATTATTATTATTATTTTTTATGAGAAATGTAGACAAACAAAAAATAAAAATTAATTGAAAAAGTTATTTCACAGCTTATTTAACAAACACTACTCAGCAACTTAAATCTATAATCCAACAGCTACACCAAACAGATTAACAACTTCTGATTAAAGTCATAATCTATAATCTGTTAAGTTATAATCTATAAATTGTTTTAACAGTTACACCAAACGGGGCCTTTATGTGTCGGTTGTGGAAGGCCTTATATGGTATGAAACAATCTTCTCGTGCTTGATTTGATCATTTTAGTGCTGTTGTGCTTGCCTATGGGTTTTAGCGTTCTATTTATGATCACTCCCAACTTTGCTCGACACTCTTCTATTGGGACTACTATTTTTGTGATTTGTGGATGAAATTATCATCTCTAGTAGTGACTCTATTTCGATTGCTGATTTAAAGCACTATTTAAGTCAGTAGTTTTAGACTAAGGACTTCGGTAATCTTCGTTATTTTCCTAGCATTGAGATTGCTCGCTCTTTCCAAGGTCTTTGTCTTTCAGAAAGGATGATCCTCTCTCTGAGACTGGGTTCTTGGGGCTTGACTGGTTGATACCCCTATGGATTCTTCTGTTAACCTTGATGGTGAGCATGGGGACTCTTTTTCTGATGTTGGTCGTTATCTTTTGGTTGGGACGTTGATTTATCTTACTGTCATTCATCCTGATATCACTTATGTTGTTAGTGTGATTAATCAGTTTATGCATGCCCCTCGACGTTCTTACGTTGACGTTGTATGCCCTATTTTATGTTGTTTGAAGGGCGCACCAGGCTGTGGTTTGCTTTGTCGCCCTTCCGCTTCCTTAATTGTCACCACCGGGTTTAGTGATGCTGATTGGGCTGGCAGTTGTACTAATCGTCGCTCTACTTCTGGTTATT